AGAGAGAAGAGAGAGAGAGGGAGAGGGAAAGAAAGAGTATACAATTAATTTAGAAAACAAAAACCATAATAAAGAAAAAGAAATAAATGCTTCGTTGAGAAGATGAGGAAGAATGAAAGATCTACACCATCTAATGAACAAAAAGGGGAAAGAAACAAGCACCACAAACTAAAAGAAATAAATGCCACAAGAAGAAGGGAAAACAATCATGTAATAAAATAGATGAAAGATTTGGGTGAGAGGAGAGAGCCTATACTATCAAATAGGAAAAACAAGGAAAATACATAAATGTAACAAACTAAAAAGCATAAATATTATGAAGAAAAAGATAAATAACCATGTAATAAAGAAGATGGAAGAAGTGAGAGATCTACATTATCAAATGAGCAAGAAGGGAAAAGAGAAGTAAACACAACAAATTAACAGAAATAAATATATCAAAGATAAGATAAGTAAGAAAGTAGTAAAAGAGATGAGAGATTAGGTGAGAGAAGAAGATCTATACTACTAAATAGAAGAAACAAGAAGGAGAAGTAAAAACAACATTCCAAAGGAAATAACTATTATCAACAAAAGAAAATAATCATGCAATAAAGAAGATGAAAAGAGAAAAAAGAGGTCTAAATATAACTAATCTATGGGTAATAAATACTATGTTAAATGGAGAATAAGAGAAGGTAAATAACTCATAAATAGGGAAAATAAGGACAAATGTATAGAAATAACTAAAACAGAAATAAATGCAAAAAACAAAAGAAGAAAAAAGAAAAGTATGCTTTAGCCCCCAGGCTCGGCTCCTAGAGTCAGCGCCAATTCAGATCGTTTGGTTGCACAGTCAATCCCGAGCTTTTCCATTTTTTAACAGGACAAGTAGAAATAGGAGGAGAGGGTCTGGAAGGTCAAATTATTTGGACCGCTTTCGGTTTGATAGTGTAGTTTGAAGGAATTGATAGCTTAGTTTTGGATTGAGGGGTCTAGGAGGAATGTGATTTTCTCAAGTGGGCTCAACTTGGGGCTTCCTTATAAGCTCAAACTTATGATCTCTAAGGGGATTTGAGCATAACCTAGGCTCAAAATCCTTGAAAATCTGGACCTTCAACATGAGGTGAAAGGGGATATTTATAGGTAAAAATGTATCCAGGGCAGCCTATGGGTCGGTTTTGTCGATTTTTGGCCCATCGGAATTTTAACAACATTTGGAGTGGCACTGACGCTAATGGGGACTTCTGTTCATCTGGAAGCTCAAAGGGGGGCCTGGATCTGGGCGCTGCTTGGAGTGGCGCTAGCGCCAGACTTGTGGTCTTTCGTGCCTCTTGTTCAGTGATTGAGGTGCCTTCGGTGCTATGCCTCGAAAATTTGGTAGGGTTTTGGTGGCCGTTGTGGCAACATCAGAGCCTTCCCTTCTGAAATGCTTCATGGTCAAGTCACTTTGAGTCTGTCATGCATTGTTTTGCCTCTTGATGCCTTTGGTCCCATTGGGGCAATGAACATTTGGTGGAGGCCAAGTTTATGAAAAAAGGGTTCTGGTGGGGCGAATGGTTTTAAATATCATGGTCTGCTTGAGACATTTCAACCTATCCATAACTTCTTCAGTCGAGATCAAGGTGTCTACACTACATTTAGATTATATACAATGAAATGATTAAGGGCTAGTTTGGATGTCAAAGAAATAAATATTCACAACAACAAAATGCAAGTTTTTTCCATCTCAATTGGAAAACATTATGGTTTTATTTTATTATGTTGGTAAACTGTTTGGATGTCTAATTTCATTGATTTGTTACAAAAACCCTCTATCCCTTCTCTTGAAGAATTTCCAAGACGAGAGACTGGTCCAGAGTTTGCCCTTTCCTCTAACCCTTCTCTCTCTCTCTCATCTGTCTCTATGAAATCAGGGGAAGCCTTAGCCCTTTCCTCCATCACCAAGCTCTAACCCTACTGAGACTATGTCGCCATCGCCATCGCCAAGCAAGGGGTTTGAGGTCTCCATGGCTAAACTAATCTCTCCACCTTGCTTCTCTCTGTATAGTCTTTCTCCCCCACTTCAGCAACAAATTCAACAATGACATAAACTGGAGTTTTTGGAGAGCTTTTGAACTCTATGATGGGTTTCATTCCATGAGAAAGAGAGCGTAGCTGTATGTTTGCAGAGCTTTTGAAAGAGAGAGAGCAGAGCTTTGAGTTTTTTTCTCGGGCATGAGAGAGAGCAGAGGGAGACGAGGGAAAAGCAAGGAGGAGAGGGAAGAGCGTGAGCGTGAGCGTTAGAGAGAGAGAGAGGAGCGAGAAACACGACTGAAGCCAAAAACATTCAATTCTAACTTGAATTTTTTTGGATGGCAATTTTTGTCTTGAGGTTGGATTTTTTTTTCTTTCAATCTAAAAATATGATAAAAGCACGCAGTTGTCCAAACGGTGAAAATCAATTTCACAACATTTTTAGATTGCAATACAAAAATATTTCAATTTTGGGTACATCCAAACTGGCCCTAAAACATTCTCGAGTGAAAGAAAATTAAGTCCAACGATGTTCTCAGTTTATTGTTCTTTTTTCTTTTTTTTTCTTTTTTTCCCTCTAGCGTATTGGTCTTATCGGGCACTACACCATATATTATGATTTGTACTTTTTGTAAGACTTCTTACTATGAATTTCAGAATTTTAAAATAAATATTATTGTTTTTAACATAAAACTCTTGCTATAAAAGCAAAGTTATCCTTTGAAAAAATAGATTCCGAATTTTTAATTCTATGGATTCCTGTATGACCAATGCTTTAAATGGCGTGAGACCCCTTTGGATCACTGTCCATCTTAATATCTAATCTCGAGTTAAAATGCCTTATTTCTTTCTCTCCATAAATACTTCAGCCCCGTACAACCTATCCCACCTCCCCCATCTCTCTCACTCTCTCAATAGAAATGGCCTGCCATGGCCGTTCAATCCTAAATCTCCCGCTCCTATTTGCTCCCATGTACCCCTCTCTCTCTCGTGACCACCTCTCCCTCACGGCCTCTCTCTCTCTCTCTCTTGGTGTCACTCTCTCTCTCCTCTCTCTCTCTCTCTCTCTCTCTCCTCTTTCTCGCTCTTACGTCTCACCACCACCTCTGTCTCTCCCTCACGGCGGCCTCCGCCACAGATTTCAATGGCTCCTATCTTAGCCGGGAACAACCGCCTATTTTTTAGCTGCTTTCCTCTCTCACAACCACGAACAAGGTGCAATCGCTCCTCTCTCTCTTTCTCCTATTATGGCATAATATTAGGGTTTACATTACTTTTTGAAAACTAGGTTTTACAGAGTTTGAAAGTGGGTTTTAGCAGGCACCGTGCCACCACATTTGTTGATTTGTTTTATTTCGAAGATGAACATAGTATGTTGGAATAAAAGAGGGACTTGAGATTTTGGTCTGTGTCTTCTATGAAGTATGCCCAATATGCCACTAGAACCTTCACAGTTGTTTGCTTGGAGAAAAATACATGGTTTTGGGAACATTTGAAGTGAACTTGAGAGGATTTTCTCCTGGTTTTGACGGCATTAGAAGAGAATTTGAGATTTTAGTGATAACGTAGAAGGATGAATTGATGTGGTTACCTTTTATATTGCTGATGAGAGCGAAGAGCAATAGATAGTTTGTTTTACATACTGAAATTGGCCAAGCCAATCCATGGAACTTATCTTAACGGTTCCTCCAAAACTCACAGACTTTATTGTATCTATCCATGCTTGTTCATCAATCTGAAACTTGCCAAATGAGAGCTGCAACATAAAACATAAAATCATCAAATATGTGGCTCTATCCATTTATGCCCCTAATTATAAATTTAAGGCTCCAAAAATGTGCAGATCAAGCAAGTCTATAAATACTTAAATTTTTTGAGAAGTGTGGAATGATTTGGGTGTTAATGGTTGTATAATGTTGCTAAATTATGTGTGAATTCAATTTGATGTTATTGACTTGTGATGTTGGGAAAGAGTGTATATTTCGAGACTATGATCAATGTATCTGAGTTTGAGCTATTGTTTTGCAATCCATGGGTGTACATTTTCAGCTATTGTTCTATAATCCATGTGCAACAAGCTTAGCTCATGTTTGGGATTTTATGTTTATTTAACCAGTTTATTTTGCTTGATCGTGCCAGTATGACCAGTTTACTCAATGTGGTTTTATCAATCGTAGATTAGGTCTCAAAGTTTATGTTCTATCCTTTTTCTTTCATTTCAATCTTCTATGTTCAAAATGAGATTTGCAAAAGATTTTGTAGTAGAAGAAAATAAAGACGCTTAGAATGCTCAAATAACTACATCAACCACATAGAAGGATTCATGAGTTTGCTCATCTATAATAATAGCCAGGAGACCACATATCTAAGTTGCTAGTCTTATATCTTTCTCCAATTTTTTGCAAAATTTAAAATAAGTTATTATGATAACTAACAAGTAAGGGAAAAGAGTAGTGAGTCTATAGATGGAGCATTTGTTTAATAGTTAATTTTGTTTATAGTGGCTGCGAACTTTAACGCAACATCTTTCTTCATGTATTAATTTGTGTCATTTAAATGAACACCCTATTTTCCCTTTTGAGGATTGAAAACATATTGCTTGTTGGAAGTAACTCCACAAACTTGATGCAATTTAGTGTTGTTTCAAAAGTTGGAGTTTCATATATTAGCTCAGTCATTTTTGAATTTCCTTGTTCACCCTCATTCATTTCTCAATTGTTAGTGATCAGGAACTTTGAAATATTACTGTTACATGCTCATGCCTGTGCACACATTCTTCCTCAAAGAAAAAAAGAAAAAAAAAAACCTCAAAAAAAAAAAATTTGAGCACACACACACACATAATTTTACTTTATTTATGGATGTTGTGTATTTTTTATTGTTCATTAACATACACAGGTAGCCCACTAGGTCAAGACCTTTTCAACCAGTCAGGATGTCATTAGCTTCTACAAAATAATGGAGGATATCCACACCACACGTCCACGTTGCCACCTACCATGTAACTCAAGTACATCAAGTTCTCCAGCCAACCCTGGAAGAATGTGCTATCGGTCTCTAGGTTCTATTTGTTTCAGAGGTGCAACGAATGAGTAGAAGGGTTGAACTACAATGTGAACTTGAGGCATCATAACATACAACAAAGGAATCAATCACAAGCATCGTAAGAACAACCCATGGTCAAGCCCGAACCGATGATCATTCAAGAGCGAATTGTTGATGCTCTATGGTTTATAAAACTATTTCTATTTTTTGTGTGTGTAACGAATGCATTTATTTTCGTACAACTACTTCTAAAATGTTTATGAGGGGAATAGAGTGGTGGTCCTGTAATTCAAGAAACAGTTTCTTATGATATTAGCGTGAAAGGCGATGAACCTTTTTATTGTTTGTTGCAAGAAAACGAGTTATTATTTGTTGTTATTACAAAGTGATTGTGTTTTTTACTTTTTGCTAAGAGATTAAGTTGTTTCTCCATCACAATTTCATCCACTTTCAGGTGCGTTATTTAATTTATTCTTAATAAGAACTGAGGATTGTCCGGTCAGGTCTCTCAATTTCTAGCGTTTTATCCAACTACAAGGTATCAGAATATTATAGAGGATTGAGTTAAGATCCAATAGAATGAGGTCTACATGGATTGAATCAAGATTAAATTGCTTTTTCTGCTTGGGTTTTTTTCTTTTTTCTTTTTTTCTTAGATGTTTTGCAACCTTGGCGAGTTGTACATTGGAACTTGCAACAACTCGCCTTGGCCAAGTCTGAGAACATTGCTCATAGGAAAATATTACTGTGTTAAAAACATTGCTCATAAGAAAATATAACTATGTTGAAATGATGGTGTTTGGACTGTGCCTTTTTGTTGCGCTTCACATGCAATGGTATCTCATTGAGACAAGAATGGCCACAAGGATTTAAATATCAACCTCTTACAAAGGCAAACATTAAGTACACACTCATGAAAGTCAAACAGTAAGTACATACTCATGAAGTTGAGACAGGGACAAAGCCTAGATCTGTGGAATATAAATCAACCTAGAACTGTGGATTATAAATCAAAAAATAGATTGGCCTGGCGACCATTAGGTACATATCAAAATTAGAGTTTTGACGAATAAAACAAACAAGCCATGGCGCCACAAAAATGAATAAATAATGGACTGTTGTTCCTTAGTGGATGTTGGTCGTAGACATTGACATAGTTATACTCTTGTCAAAGACGATTGATACTTAGGGCGTGTTTGCTAATAGGAAGTGGTTTGTTGAGAACTTCTCAACTTTTTGTATTTGATAAAAATGAGAACCCTAAATTAAAAGTTTTCAACTTCCCACACCCCTGTGTAAAAAACGTTCCGACCCAAAGGTCGGAACCTCAAATAGGAAGCTCTAAACTTCCTCCCCATTCGATAACCTAGAGCACCCCTCCCCTTTGATAAAACCCTAATCTTTGAGCACACCCCGCTAAGCACCCACCCCACTGAGCACTCCTCTCTACGCCGTTGAGCACCCACCTCGTTGAGCGTCCCTCTTTTCGCAACTTCCCATCTCGCCGATGAGCCAGCACGCCATTATCTCAGGCAAACCTGTGATCCTAGCCATTGATCTTGAGGTATGCACTTTATTCTTTCTGTTATTGATCATTGTGTATGTTCTTGAGCTCTTGAAGCAAATGGCTCTTATTATTGATCTCTGTGTTTGTTCTTGAGCTCTTGAAGCTTAGAGCTCTTATACCCCATGATTTTAGGGTACAAGTTTTTTTGTGGGGTTTCCCTCTCTGTTGATTCCCAATTTTGATCTTCTTAGTTTTTTTTTTTTCTCTCTGTTATTTTCTCACTGTTTGAAAATGGACTATGGATGTTACTTGCTTATGAAATGCCCTGTGCGCCTAACGTTATACAAACATTGTTGAAAGTGAGTGAGTTCTTTAGAGAGAGAAAGAGAGAGTGTGTGTTTGAAAATGAGTGCTTTAGAGAGAGTGTGTGTTTTCATGGCGGACCTCTGATCTTTCTCTCTACCAAATTTTAGCAGGTACCGCCTTTTCTTAGTTCTAGGGTTTTTCTTGTCTGTGCATCTTCTATTTTCTCATTTTCCATATGCTTGGCCCTTAGTTTTTGCAATTGCAGAGCTTGATTGAGAAGAATTATTTTCATGAATTCATTTACTTCTTTCTTGTTCTTTATTTTGAGGGTTATCATTATTATTATTTAGTCTAGGTTCTTCTCAATTTCATTTGCAACTCCTAGGAACTTTTGACAATGGAGAGCTTGATTTAAAAAAAAAAAAAAGCTTTTTGTGGGTTCGTATATCTTGCAATTCATTATTGGTTTTAGTTTTTTCTATTTTTTTATGTAGCTTCTATTTCCTTCTACAAGTGTAGGGGCATTAAATTGGAGAGCTTGTATGAAAAAGTGTTTTTTTATGGATTTGTTCTCTTGCATTTGGTTCTTTTTTGTAGAAAGTTAGCCTTTTCTTGAATTTGGTTCTTGTTATTCTTTTCTTTCTTTTTTCTTTTGGTTTCATAATCTTATGCATTCTGCATCTGTAATTCTTGGGACCTTAGTTTTTGTAAAGAGCTTGATTAAAAAGAATTCTATTATGGCTTTGTTTCTTCCATTTTGTTGGATTGGGGTTTCTCTTTTCGCCAAGATACGATTTTCTGATTCTGTAACTACTAAGCCATACTTTCTGCGGTAAAAGATCTTGGTTGGGAAACATGCTTTTTGTTTGCTTCTATTTCACTGTGATTAGGTTAGAAACTTAGAGAACTTGAGTTATAGAGAGTTGATTGTGCCCATCGCATATATTTCAGATGAGAAAACATAGAAATAAATATATTTTCGGCAATTTTTTCCATTAATTTTATTGGGTTTTAAGGCTTATTTCCAAAATGATTCAGGGTTTTTAAGATTTCTTTCCAAATATTATCTTTAAAAAAAAAATTTCTCCCTAAGACCTATTTTATCTATTCCCTACTTAGAATCAAATCAATGTGGGACTTGCAGGTTCCATGGAACATTTTAGTCTATCTTTGCAAATTTTATGTTCTTATTGAGGAACTTTATTTCTTTTTCGATTTTGTCCATTTTTCTCCAATTTTATGCTACATGAATCGTATGATGTTGCGGAACTGTTAGGGTCCATCAAGTTTTTTTACAAACAATACACCTTACCTCAACTCATCCATTTTATTCGGCTTTTGGTCAAAAATTCGGGGAAACTTGCTTGAATGTTTCATTTTCATGACTCTTCACCATCAAACAAACAAATTTCATCTGGCTTCTCTAGTTTTGTTTAGAACTTCAAAAATTCGACTTCTAGGAATTAATTACCCTTTTTTATATTTTGTGGTAGAAATTCAGTGATATGGAGCTATTATGTATTTATGTTTCTTGGCTGCCCGGAGGTTCTTTTATTCTATAATTGCAACCTGATGACTCATTTTCTCATGTTTTCATAATTGTTATTATTTTACCAGTGAAAAAATCTTTGTAGATATGGGAAACTTTACCAATTCATGTGGGTCATTATTTCCATTTCTTTGACAAATGACTTAAATGACAAACATATTCCGTAATAACATTTGAGGTGCTTAGTTCACATTGTTTGAACAGGCTTAACTATAATTATAACTTGTTTCTTTTTTATCATTACTTGTTAGATGAGATTTTAGAATTTTTCAGATTATCTATGTGATACCGATAAATTGTTTCCATCCCTAGTTTCTTGACTAAACAACACTATGTAACTTATGTTTGACATAAACTTGATTTTATCTCTTAAATGTAAATACTACTTGGGTAGAGAAGATATCTCATAAATGGTGATTATTCTTTGCTCCTAATCATCTATTCATCACCCTTAAGTGTTTAATGTTTGCTGGAACTTAGTGTTTCAATTCGATTATTTGGGGTCGTATTCTTTGATCATGGATCATTTGATTTTTGTTCATTTCTCAAATGTTGCTGTACTTTGGGCTTCTCTTTCCATGGCTGTTGATTAATGGGTATAATATATAATTTGCTCAATGCCTAGAAATAACCATGCTCTCCCTCTCTCTTACATCACGCATGCATGTGTGTGTTGGTGAAATTGAAGTATTGTGAAATTGAAATATTGGGTTGGTTTTGAAATCTTATGCGAGTGCTTCTATGATGAATTCACAAATGTAGCTTACGTGTATTGGATGTGAATTCTCCTTGGTAATTTATGAATGTTTAATTTTCTATGAATCTATCAATACGGAAACTCCAGTATGGCCTTTGTGAAACTGTCCATGCAAATATGGTAAATTGATTGTACTTGAAAGGCTTTAATGAAGGGCTTTTTTTGAGGTTTTTTTTTTTTTAAATTGGTAAAATCGGTAAAAAAAAAAAGTTTTTTAACTTTAGCTCTGATATTAGAGATTTTTTTGAGCTTTTTCTTAGCTTTTTTTAGCTTTTTCTGAGAGAAAATTGGTAAAAAAAAGAAAAATTTAGGGATTTTTCTGAGCTTTTTATGAAGTTTTTCTAATCTTTGAGCTCTGATATTTGAGCTTTGATCAGAGTATGAATACATTATAAATTTCATTGAGCTTTGATCAAAGTACGAATACATTATCGTTTAGGGATTTTTCTGAGGTTTTTATTTTTTAAAATTAGTAAAATCGGTAAAAAAAAACGTATTTTTTATTTGAGCTCTGATATTTGAGCTTTTTCTGAGCTTTTTTTTAGCTTTTTCGGAGCCTTTTTTGGGCAAAAATTGATAATAATAAAAAAAAAGTTTAGGGGCTTTTCTAAGCTTTTTATTAGGTTTTTTTTATCTTTGAGCTCTGATCAGAGTACGAACACATTATAAATTTCATTGAGATTTGATCTTTGAGCTCTGATCAGAGTATGAATACATTACAGTGAAGGGCTTTTTCTGAGGTTTTTCATTTTTTAAAATTGGTAAAATCTGTAAAAAAAAAAATTATTTTTTATTTGAGCTATTTGAGCTTTTTCTGAGCAAAAATTGGCAAAAAAAAAGAAAAAAAGTTTAGGGCTGATTTCTTTTGAGTTGTGAATGTTGCTTGATACCGATGCACCAGAGCTGATTTCTTGCTGCTTGCATTGTGCATGTGTGTTTGAATGAGCTGATTTCTTAGTTCTTGCATTTTTAATTATGTATGTTTAAACTATTACAGATTATTGTTGAATAGGTTGGTTTTGTACATGGTTTTCTTTATGGATGCATGAGTTGTGAATGTTGCTTAATACAGATGCATCAGTGCTAAATATAAGTAGTGCTCAAGTTATTACAGGTTATTGTTGAATGGGCTGATTTCTTGCTGCTTGCTACTTGCATTGTGTATGTGTGTTTGAATGGGCTGATTTCTTAGTTCTTGCATTTTTAATTATGTATGTTTAAACTATTACAGGTTATTGTTGAATGGGTTGGTTTTGTAC